TTAGTAACACAACTCTCTGAGGCACCATTGTTAACTCAGGTATTTAACCTGTAAAAAGTGCATGTGAACAATTCTATACTCACAGATAAGCACATCTAAATCGCTATGACACTAATAGCAGAGCTAGGCACAGTGGTGCACACCTGTAGTTCCAGCCTCCAGAAGGCTGAAGCAGAAGACCTGCTTCAGTCCAGGAGTTTGAGATCAGCCTAAGAAACACAGCAAGACCAGACCTCATCTTAAAAAAAAAAAAAAAAGCAGAAAGAAAAATATAATGTGAAACTTCCAAAGGACTTTCCCTTTCATTTATAAAGACCCTGGGGCTTCAGGGAGGGAGACAAGGGAAGCAGCCAGAATCCATTCACACTTAAACTTTTTGCCAATGAAAACTGAAACACCTGTATGAATTAACTAAACTGTTCTCTTTTTCAACAATGAGAGGAAATTAAAAACATTACTACACGTCACTGACTTGGCTCATCCGAAAGGAAATAACACAGATATCACAGCTCATTTTAAATTATTGGGTCAATACAACACAAATGGTTCTCTAAAACGATACGGGTTCTTTTTTTATATTTTTTTTATGACTCCGTTTTCCTGAAACATGTAGATACATTTCTCAAGAATAGTATCACATAATGACAACCTTAAATGAGAAAAGCTATTCACTTCTGACTTTACCAAGTTAAAACATTTCCCAACATGTCTCACATATATGTCTCCATGCGGCAGCAACATGAAAACACTAGCAAAAATTAGAAGAGAATTCATTATTATTTCAGTAAACTTAGAAAAGTTCATTAAAAGTGAACAAGTCAGGATCAAAAAGCCACCCATTTATTTATTCAATAAGGATTTATGAAATGACTTTTTTGGATACTAAAACTTCTAGTATTTGCTGCTCTATCAACAGAGGAAGACTGTACCTCCCAGCCCCAACAGTTCAGAACCCCAGTCTCCGGTCACCAAGCTGCTACCACAGCAGGTAAACAGACAACGAGCAAGCTTTCCTCCTGTTCTTTTGGGGGGGTACCGGGTATTGAACTCGGGTCCTTGCGCTTGCAAGGCAGGCCACCGAACCGCTGAGCTAAATCCCCGGCCCTCCTCCTGTTCTTTACCGTCGTATTGAAGGCCAATTACAAAGAGGTGCTGTCCATTTAAGCTGCTTGGAAATGGAATGCTCTCACACAAACTAGGGACTGAATATGGAACACACCAGCACTTTTTCTACACTCTGCGATTTGATCCTCATAACAAGTTTTCACTGTTGAAGGAGGGACACATCACCCTTGCCCCCACTTGACAGAAGAGGCCGACGTAAAGTGTACAAGTGGCCGACCTTACAACGATGTAGTGCTACCTAACTTAAGGAAATAAGTAGAGCAGTGCAGCTACACGATAGACATCAGTCTTGTTCTGAGGTTGCAGTATATTCCAACTATTCTCTTATTCTATGGACATTTATTGAACAACAACTAGGAATAAAGCAATAAAGCACTGTACTAGGCCAGAGAAGAGACCCAGAAATGAAGAGCTCAGTCGCTAAAGCTGGGAGTCTATAATCTGGTGAGGGAAAGACATATACAAAATTAATTACGGGCCAAAAAATGACAATCGCCAAAAGGGAGGCCCAGAAAAGTTTAGGAATTCAGAATGCAGTAGCACATAAAAGTGGTCCCTCTTGTCTCAAATACTATTGGAGTTTAACAGCATGCAGCTCTCAGCAATTATGAGGGGTTGAAATGGTCCAGGGCACTGTGAAAATATCAAAATCCAAGGATGCACAAGTCCCTTACGGAAAATGCCACCGTGTCTGCATTTAACCTATACTCATCCTCTTTCCAGTGAAAATCAAGGCTACATGACTTATAACACCGAATACAATGTAAGTGTTATGTAAATAGCTGTTACACTGCACAGTTTGGAGAATGACAAGGGGGAGAAGTCTGTATGTGTTCAGTACAATAAAATTATTTTCAAACTATTTTAAATCATGATTGGCAGAACCCATGGACATGGAAAATCAACTGTATAAAGTTTCTTTCTTCACTGACACCAGGAGCCAGTTCTAAGTCCTTGTCTTGTCCACTCATCATGAAGAAAAAGGAGATAAGAAGGACTCTAGATAAAGGAAGAGCTGACAGGACAGATTTGGGTATTTCGGGTATATTTCTGTTTCGTTTACAATAGAAAAAAAAACAAGGAGATGGTACAGAGCCCAAAGTAGTCAAGAGATTCCTAAAAGCCTTCTTTACATCTAGTTTCTTGCCCTGCTTCTTAGAAATTGAAGATTTACTTGAGGTTTACAAACTCATTTCTTTGGAAATACTAGGCCTGGCACTATGAGTCTCTATAATTAAAAAGCTTTCCATCAAAAACAGATCACTCCAGCTGGGCATGGGGCGCATGCCTGTAATCCCAGCAAAAAAGGTAGGGAGGCTGAGGCAGGAGGATCGCTGTGAGTTCGGGACCAGCCTGGGCTACACAGTGAGTTCCAGGTCAGTCTCAACTACATAGTGAGACCCTGTCTCAACCTCCCCCCGCAAAAAAAAGATCACTTCAGGTCAAGAATTTAGCCTAGTGGTTCCACTGCCTGCCTTGCATGAATTTGATCCCTGGTACCAAAACAAAAAACAAAAAAATAGATCACTCCTTGGGCTGGGGATTCAGCTCAGTGGCACCACTTCTGCCTCACAATCTCAAGGTCCTAAATTCAATCCCCAGTACCAAAAAAGAAATTTTTTTTTTTACATTTCTTGAGGGCTCAGAAAAATGTTAATAAAGTATTATAATAAAGTATTAATAAAAGTATTTCTCCATATATTAAATACCAAAAAATGTGCGTTTAAAAGAAAAGAAATCACCAGTTAATTATTTCCAAATTACATCACAATCCAAAGGAACAATAGATTAAAAAAAAAAAAGATATCCTCACTCTCAAGAAGTGCTAAGAAAAAGTAAATGAATACAAAGGGCTCAAGTGTTTCTGGTAATCGTGGGTAACCTATACCACAAGCCCCATGAAGCTGCTAGTACTGACCGTCCTCCCTGGGGAGACCGGCAGGAACATTTCTCGTGCCCCAGGCCACGTTTACCTCAGTCACAGCCTCCAGCACCCTGTCACCCAGACTCCAGTCCTACAGCTCTATGCTTCCCCGCACCAACTCAAACTCAAGACCATCCCAGGCCGTTTCCTGCTGCTACGTCCGGTTGTGGGCAGATCTGTGTCCCATGTCACCTTCCACTGAGATCTTCCCAGACTATCTTGTCTGAAACAACTGCACCCAGCCCATGCTTAGTCCTTACGCTGCTGTATCGTCCTCCTCAGCGCTTCTACTGAATATTTATTTATCTTTGGCTACTGAGTATTTTCCCCACGAGAAAGAAAAGTGATGTAAACTCTGGAATGGAAAAGACGTTGATGTTGTATCTCCAATGATCATCACAAAGCCTGCGTATATCAAGTTTAAGAGCTACTAACGGAATGAATAAATGAAAGGTACATAAGTCTTTTATGTGCTTTTAAAATAATTTTACCACTTTACTTGCCAAATTACTCATAGCACATATAATGAAAAGGTAGGGACATTTCTACATAGTTATCTAAACACACATAATACATCCAAGATTTCTAATACTGAAGTGGGACAATCAAACAGGCACCCAGAGGACTCAGTAACCAACATCTAACCAGTTTCAAGAGGGTGTGTAGGAAACAGTAATTTGCAAAATTCACAAGACAGTACAAAAAAGCTAGCTTTTCTACCAGATAAAAATTCTTTCTTTCACCTTATCCAAAAAACAACAAAGGAAGAAAAGATCAAAATTCTACTTGATTTCTATAATAAAAATGCCTTCATGGGCCAGGGATTTAGCTCAGTGGGGCCACCTGCCTTGCAAGGGCAAGGACCCGAGTTCAATCCCATGTACCAAAAAAAAAAAAAACGCTTTGAAAGAGATATGGGTAAACAATTTGTGTTCATTAAAGAACATATCTCCCCCCCACACACACTTTTTAACTCATAAAGCCAAAAAGAGCTAACTAATCTCTCCACCCACCCCCTGGAATTGAGCATCAGCCTTCACACTGAGCTACATCCCCAGCCCTTTTCATTAGTTTTATTTTGATAAAGAATCTCACTAAATTGCCAAGGCTGGGCTCAAACTAACAATTCTCCTGGCTCATTTTCCCAGACTACAGGGATTACAGTTGGTGCCACCATGCTCAGCTTACTTTATTTTCTTGGAAACCTTTCTTTACAGCTGAATCCTCCAACATCTATTACTCCGTCTTTCCTTTTTACTGTCAACCTTCTTCAACTGAGGTCTTTATTCATAATCTTTATTTTCTTTTACACCATTTCTCCTTAATTCTCTTTCTCTAGAATGATGCGACTATTTGAATAGCCCACTGAAACCATGCTAGAAAAGAGGACTGCACTGCTATAGCCCACAAAGAAAGTCTGCGAATCTCACAGCATCTTCTCTGGCCACATTTCTCCCGAATGCTCCACCCTGCTGAAGGCTGATAAGCAACCTCATGCCCTCCACACCACCTTCTTCCTGGACCTCTACAACCCGTGCTCTCCTGCTCACATCCCAGTTTTCTCTCGGCACAACCAAGCAGGGATCAATCACTCTCAGCCTCAGACATAGGACTTAGCAGTCTGGCTTTGTTACCTTATTAAATCACTTAATAAATATTTGTATTTATCTATTATGTGCAAGGTAATAGAATGGGGCCTGGGACTTAAAAAATGAACACAAAAATTGGGACACTGCCTTCACTACCTAGCAACTACAAGGCAAAATGGTTATGTTTCAATCATCAGCAAGAATCACACCACTTAGAAACTAAAATGATGAGTGTTCTCCCCCGTACTTTCCTCAGATGACAGTGTTTCAACAAGAGCAATCTGAGGCAAGCGGCAAATACCAGAGGCAAAATCATTTATAAGGAAAAAGAGCGAAATGGAAAGGAAAATGTCGTTACTTACTGATGTAAATGCCAGCAGCTCCTCTTCAGTTAACTTATGCACTGGATTATTCTTCTGAAAATTTGTGCTTTGAATTAAAGAAAGTCATGTATTAATTATAAAATACACTGTAGCTAATGAAATAAAAAATTTTAAATAAATTGGTATATTTTGTATCTTTGAACAGAGTATAATAATACGGCATTTTATTCACATGTAAAAATGAGTTTGCCAAAGATAAGTATAAAAAGTAATAAAATGCTGACAAATGAAATGTGCTTGAAACACGTGATGCCATTACAACCTGTCATGCTAGGAAAAAAAGAAATATAGTCTATGCCACTCAGCAAAGAAACTCAAATGCATTAATGTGGGCCCAGCTCCCCTTCATTAAACTTGTGCTATAAAAATACATGGTTTTAACAATTAGAGCAGTGAAAATTAAGATGTTGTCAAAGAATCACATGATAAGAATTCTAAGATCTTGTCGATACAAGTACAATTATGGGAATCACTTTGGGTTTGTTTGTATTTTTTGGTACCTGGGATCGAACTCTGGCCCTTGCACTTACAAAACAGGTGGCAGAACCACTGAGCCAAATCCCCGGCCCCTAAGAGAATCATTTTGGAAAATAATTTGGTACTGTCTTGTAAAGTGAACATTCACCGAGCCTCAACTCAGTAATTCCATCCTAGATCAAGAGCTCAGAGAAATTAATGAATGCGTGGACCAAGCATGACATAACATAAATATAAATATTATACACAGTATCATAGGAAAAATCTGAAAACAACCCAAATGTCCAAAGGAAAATGATAAATTGTGAATAGCCATCCAATGGAATGCTGCCCTGAGAATGTAATGGCAGCTGCAGATAACATGAAGCACAGAAACAAAATAACGAGAGGAAAAAAGCAAACCACGTGTCATAAAATAACACTTTAATAATGCTCAAAAAAGGGGAACTAAAGCAGTTATATAAAATGTGAGACTAAGTTTTTTTTTTTTAAGAAAATGAAAAACGCAAGATTTACAACAGCATATTCTTTTTATAAGACAGAAGAATGAGATCTAGGAAAAGCAAATGGGCTGGACTAATGGGATTTGTAATCTAGTTCTTAAATTATACAGTGGGCTCACTGGTGTCCATTTTACTACTGCGCTATAAAACCCTTTGCTGTTGTTTCAGACATGTTCCAAGCTGGCCTTGAATTTATTATGTAACCCAGGCTAGCCTAGAAGTTGTGATCCTCCTGCATCAGCCTCCCATATTCCTGGAATTAGAGACATGTACCACCATGCCAAGCTACACTATATAACTTAAATTTATATATTACATGAATTACTTTGTATGTAAATAGCACATATATTAAGAATGGAAAGAAAATATCACCTCATAAAATTTTCTTTAGTTTTCAATACTGTTCGAGGATTTTATAATATAAAATGTTTATATAATAATTTTTAAATAAGCCTATTTTTATTGTTAGTAAAAAACAAAAGAAGAGGAAAAAAAAAGAAAACCAAAGCTGGGTGTAGTGGTACATACCTATAACCCCAGCAATTTGGGAGGCCGAGACAGGAAGATTTTAAGTTTGAGCTCAGCCTAGACAAGTTAGCAACTTAGCAAGACACTGTCACGAAACAGGGCTGGGAATGTAGCTCATTGCAAAGGCCCTGGGTTCTATTCTTGGCCCTGAAAAAAAGTCATTACAAGATAAGAGAGCATCCATCCAAAATGAAGCAAAGTTCATCTCTCATATAAAAATTCCAAAGCTATAATGCATTACATAAAGTTATACAGACAAAATGAAACATTACAGGCTTATTACAAATATTTATGAAGGGAAGCTGGTGGTGTAGCTCTGTGGCAGATCCGTGCTTAGCCATGTACAAAGCCCTGGATTCCACCCCAGGCACCAAAAAGGGAGAGAGAAGCGGAGAAGAGCAAGGAGGGGATAATAATTACGACAGTCCCTGAGTTGAGTCACCATTATTTAATGTAATTTACTGTCAGGCTTACAATATATTACAATGCACACTTGAAAACTACATTTTTAAAGAAAAAGGGAACTACCTTTCCCCATTAGTCATCTGAATTATTCAAGGGTTGCTGTATTTTAAGGAATTCCTCCCATAATGGCTGTGCATAAAAGCAGTCAGGTCCACTGAGGAATAAGAGACACTGGGCAGGCTCCAGTGTTTGGTCTTTAGGTAACAATCAAATCCAAGGAGGAGGCAGTGAAAGGGAAGCGAGTAGGGAAAGAGCAGAAGTCATCCTTGGGTAAACTGAAAGAATGCAGCACCTTCTTCAAGTCTCCTTTCCAACCAGCCCAACTTACTACAATGTCCAAGGCCCCTCTTGGGGTGGCGGCCACGGAAATCAGACAGAGACAAGGCATTGTAATGAAATCACATCCAAAACACTGAAACTCGTTCACATGAATGATCAGTTCATGGATATTGTAACCAAACATTTCTAAACTGCATCAGATGCTCTCAGATTCAGAAATAAGTAAGTAGTTTCTCCTTAAACTGCCTATGAAATCATTCAGTTCTTTCATCTTTTATCTGTACTGAGCATTCACTGAGATCTTATTTGGGGAAAAAACAGTACTTGAAGCATTTGAAGATAAGCAAATAGCATTTAAAGATGAGCATTTTCTCGGTCACTCCCTCAACTGTGAAGTTTGACTCACTATTTCTAAAGTTCACCTGACAAATGCCTACATTTATCTGGTTTGATTTAATTTCCTGATTAACTGACAATTGTGAATTTGCCAAAATAACATTTTTTAAAACAGCTTAATAAAGAACTCAAAATTTGGGGTCAGTTAAATGCAGAATCAAATCTTAACTGCTCCTTTGTAATTCTGAGCAAATCACTTAGCCATGAAAACCCTGTTTTCCCATTTGAAAAATAAGAGAAAAATAACAATCCTTAATGTTGTTAGAATATTAGAGATAAGGTGAAATACATACTACGATGCCTAGCAAATAGAATTTCTCATAAATCAGTTATTCATATTAACATACTATGTATCATGTACTAAATTTTTCATAGTAGACCTAAACTCTGTCACTGGAATCAAATAATGCAACAAGACAATTGCCTTAGACTTAGGAATAGAATCCCATATGAGTGGTCTCACTTCAGAAAACAAAAAGGAGCTCCAGAAATGAACTCGACTTTTGCATAAATGAAAACCTAGTGTCAGTATATGGGAGGAAAAGAAAAAAACAACTTTACATAGGAATAGCCTAGTAAATGACCACTGTGATAATGTGTGGCCAAAGTTAATTTCATCAGTAGTAGGACAAAACAAAATGCTTTCTACTTCCTAGGAAGCAATGAGAACCACAAAATTTATTCCTTTGGTATCTCTGTTAATACTTTGTAAAATAAATGTAATCATTACACAAAATTTATTTTTTTGTTTTGTTTTTTTGAGACAGGGTCTCACTATATAGTTGAGACTGACCTGGAACTCACTATGTAGTCCAGGCTGGTCTCAAACTCAGCCATCCTCCTGCTGAGATTACAGGAGCACGCCACCATGCCCGACTTCATTAAACAAAATTAAACAAGCTCATATTACAGGAAGGTCTACAAAACAACTGGTTTGTACATTTCAAGTGTTAAGGTCACAAAAGTCAAGCAAAAATAAAAAACTATTTCAGACTGACAAAGACTAAGGAGACATGACAACAAAATAGGACACATGGGCCAGGGATCTAGCTCAGCGGTTTCCCTGCCTGCCTTATAAGTGCCAAGGTCCTGAGCTCAATCCCTAGTACTAAAAAAAAAAAAAAAAAAAATAGGACACATGTTCCGGACTGGATCACTTCCTCTAAAGGAGATTATTAGGAATAGGGTCTGAGAACTAAATAATAGTAAAGTTGGATGTTAATTTTCTGCTTTTGACAGCAGTATCGTGGCCATATAAATGTTGTTCTTTGTTAGAAACATGCTAAGTATTCAAGAATGACAGATTATTGGGTATTTTGTTGTTGTTGGTTTTTAAGACAGGGTCTTGCTATATAGTGCAGGCTGTCCTCAAACTCACAGTGATCCTCCTGCCACAGCCTCCTGAGTGCTGGGATTACAGGCTTGAGCCACCACACAGGGCAATAACAACAGATTATTGTGTTGGAAACTTATTCTCAAAAGTTGTTTGCACTGCCCTCTCCTTGCAACATTTTTCAAGTTTGAAATTATTTCAAAATAGAAAAGAAAAGAAAAACTACTTCCACTGCATATAAGATTGTACTGCATTAAAAATAATTCTATCCCTTAAAAATGTAAATATCAGCGATCACCCGGCGGCGTGCGCGTGAGCTCCCGGCCTGCGCGGGAGCTCCCGGCCTGCGCGACAACAGACCCAGGAAGGACCCAAGGACCCCAGAGGGGGTTTTTTTCAGCTGCCTGCCTACCTGCCTGTCTGCGATCACCCGGCGGCGTGCGCGTGAGCTCCCGGCCTGCGCGACAACAGACCCAGGAAGGAAGGTAGCCGCGCGGGCGCCCTTGAAACACCCACACGACCCCCCCCCCCGTTCTCAAAACTCCTGATCGGGCCAGTCCTTAGACCAACTCTGCAGAGGCATAGGTTCCCATGAAGGGTAGTTTTCTGAGCTCCGAACTTTGATCATCTTTAAAGAAAGGGCAGGGGAAACCTGTAATAGAACGGAGTGGAGTTCAACCCTGAGGGTAAGGAAACTAAAGTTAGGCTTTGTAGATTGTGTTCAGTCTCAGTCGTGAGGAACAGCCATTGGCTAGCTATAACCAGGGGATTGGGTTCCGCATATGACTGTGCATGTGGTATAATATGAGATCAGAGATAGCCTGAAAGAGGACCTTCAAATTCTTTTTCTTTCCCTCTCTCTTGTCTCTTTTTTCCTCTTTCCACCCTAAAATTTCTTTCTTTTTTCTGTCCTGTCTCTCCAACTCAGTCTCTTGCTCCACCATAGTGTCCCTCATCTCCCTTTTTATTCCAGTTCCTGAAGAACTCAGACTTCTTTTTTTATTTTTTGTTTTTAGGACGGGTTTCTCTTTATGTTCTTTTCTCCAGTCATTTTACCTCACTCAT